ATGGGATCTGATTAGAGGCAACTTGGAAGGTAGGCTTGGCAGAGGAGCATAACCATGTTTCACTTTGGAAAGTTGTGAGGTACTGCACACCACAAAAGCTGCCAAGTTAATTTTACATGATAAGATATGGGACAAAGAGGAAGCTTTTTGGTGAAAGGATTTTTTAAAAACTGTTTTAAAGTATTTTTAAAAGCAAACTATACACTGTCTTTTGAAACCTTGGGAAAACTTCATAATTTTTGAAATGTAAAGTTCAATTTTATTAAACATGTGGGTAAGTTTGAAATTATTCAGAATATTAAAATTAATTTGAAAATAATTAAAATTCAGAAAAACTTCAGGTGTGCATCCAAGTTCTGGGCAACATTAACATGGTATAAAAATTGCTCAGGAAATTTACAGTGAACAGGTGTGTGAAGTAATTGAGGGGAAAAGAAGTTCAAACATTAATTAGCAAGAATTATGAATATCCTTGTTGAATTGTTTTCTCTCAAGTTGGCATATTTTTAAGCATATTATGGAGGAAATATTTTTTTAAATTATGAATGCACATGGAAAATAAACTCTTACTTTTCATAATATTCTATACTTTTGCCATTAATCACTTGATGGCACATGGAAGAAAAACAAAAAGGGGTCTAAACCATAAGAAAAATATTATAAATATTTTTAAGAGTTTATTCAATAAGACTTGCTAATATTGTTAAAATGTTCTCCCAAATCCAGCAAAATAAGGATTCATGCACTCAAAGGGTATCTCTGTTGAAACTGGGAGAGAAAAGAATAACTATGCCAAAAATAAGACCTAAGTCCTACACTCAAGGAGCTTACAGGAGGAGGGAAGCTGGACCAGAAAAGCAGAAGGTTGGAAAATAATGTGACAATCCCCATGAGAAACACAGAGGATGTGATAAGGATGTTGCCCTGGAGGGGGAAGGTTGGTGGGATTGGGGTGTTTATCAGGTAGTCAACATTAGAGGCAAACATTTCAGACAGAGAGAAGGGGTGGTGAAGCTGCAGAATTATAAGCAAGCCTATCGTGCGGGCGCCATCAGACACTCTAGGGCAGCACGGTAACAAATACCTGAAAGGTGGGAGAGGCTTTGGAAACAGGCTGTGGGAAGAAGCTGGGAAGACTTTGGGGAGGGTGTTAATTTGAAAGCTTGAGGAGCCTGGAAGAGAGTTTCATGAAATCCTAATGACCTTTGAGGAAGTTGTGAGTGATGGCTTGAGGAGGAGAGTGAAGAAAATGTTATCTGAAACTGGAGGAAAATGATCTTTGTCATTTAGTGGCAGAAATTTATCAACACTGTCACTTGATAGTGAGGAAAGTAGAAAACTTACCGAATGAACTGTGTGATCTAGCTAAGGAAATTTCCAGATACCGCTGAAAGTACTTCTTGGTTTCTTCTTGCTGCTTTTAATAAAATGTGAGAAAAGAGAAGTAAACTAAAGGAAGGACCTCTACACTAAGAGGGAGTTAAAAATTCCAGACTCTCCAGATAACAAATGATAGTACAACTAAGAAATGGTTGGGGCCCCTGGCTTGCTCAGTCAGCAGAGCGTGGGACTCGTGATCTCAGGGTTTTGAGTTCAAGCCCCACGTGGGGTGTGGAGATTACTAAAAAAAAAATAAAATCTTAAGAAAAAAGGAAAGAAAAGAAAGAAAAAGAAAAGAAAGGAAAAATGGCTACCAGGTAAAGATCAAACCCAGGGCACTCCGAAGAAAACATGGTCCAATCATGAAGCCAAGAGTTTCAAATTCTTTGTTAAGACCTCCAAAATATCCAAGACAGTGCATCAGAGAATCACTCAGTCAAATAATAGGGCTTCTAAGAACTTGAGGGTATTGTCCCTCGATAGGCTCAGCTGAAGTCCAAGGTAGAGAAGAGTGTATCTTGAAGAGATCTGTGGGGGTGGTCTTTTCTAATAGAGTCAATCCCAATAAAATTCACAGGCGACCTATAAAGTTTTTAAAAGATTCATGTCACCAGGTGCACCACCAGCTTGGACTAAAATGGGCAAAGAGAGCACAGAGAGGAAAGGGGCCTTTGAATTCTCAAACTCCTCTGGGCAGGAGGTAGGTCAAGGAACCACCTAGCAGTTGGCTCATGGGAGAGGAGATTACTGCCTTCACTTATCTCTACATCTTGGAAGCTCCTAACAATAGTTGTGGTGGCTTCGGTCTGTCCCAGCACCAAGAATGAGGCTGACAGGGCAGTGAGCATTCTCTGCATTTTCATGACACTCTGCACACAGTGTTAGTGTGGTGGAGACTGCAGAAAATACATCTTCGAGTGCTGGCCTCTTGAAGGAAGCCAGGAGGCCGCACCTGGCAGGGGCAACTGTTTCAGGGTGGGCTGGAACAGCAGCAGGGAGGTGCCCTCAGACAGTGTCCTGCCAGGAGAAGCTTCTCTCCCTGACATGCTGGCTCCTAAACTTGTGTAAAAATAACTGGATGAGCTTGGAAGTGGCTCAGAGGCTCTAAGCTCTGCAGGTGAGGCCATGAGCCAGCTAAATACAGATTAGTACCTTTTATGAGACCCTACTTGGACCCACAGAAATGTCTGGGGAACATAAATTATAAGCACTTGGAGAAGCCCTATATGAGGAGCAGTTGAAATAAGTTACTGAAGGAGGAGCATCGGGAACCGCTTATCTTCCTGATGGGTGTCGATCATGAAGGGGGGTTGGCATCCCCTTTCAGAGCAAGAAGTCGTTCGAGGAAGTGATGAAGTGGGTATCAGTGCCCTCCCTTTGTAGGGGTGGTAAGGGAGATTGCCCCACTCACTTTACTTCAGGGCAGAGCAAGGAGAAGGGTAGGAAGATGATTGGTTCTTATCTCTGAGTCCCAGGCCCTGAAACTCCAGCGTTGAAGATTTATTTCTGTTAAAGGGTGGAGCTGTCCATTGAGACCTATATTGTGCCAATATTGGAGGGTAAAGGAAAACTGTTTCTCATAACATTTCTGACACTGAATGTGTGGGTTATTCCCTTGTATTAAACAATTCTGGCATGAACTACTTGGAGTTCTCACGGACCTCACAGGTTAAGAGCTCAGTCCCATAATACTGCCCCTCCTTCAGACACCAGTCACAAGTGGTGGGTCCCCAGGTTACCCACACTTCTGTCTGACATGACCACAGATAGAGGCTTCCCATGACCCTTCCTAAGGCTCAGTAATTTGCTACCATGGCTCACAGAATCCAGCGGAAAACTTTACTCACTATTACTACTTTATTATAGAGGGCATAATAAAGGATACTAATGAACAGCCAGATAAGGTAGATAGGGCAAGGTCTAGAAGGGTCCTAAGCACAGGAACTTGTGTCCCTGTGGAGTTTGGGGTAAGCCACTCCCCTGGCACATGGAGGTTCTTGTTCACCAGCCCAGAAACTCTCCAAACCTCTTTGTGTGGAGTTTTTATAGAGCTTCCATTGCATAGGCATGACAGATAAAATCATTGGCCGTGGGTGATTAATTCAGTCCCCGGCTCCTTTCCCCTCCCTGGAGGTGGAGGGGTGAGGCTGAAAGTTCCAACCCTCAAATCACATGGTTGCTTCCTCAGGCAACCAACCCCATCCTCCAAGAATCACCTCAGTAGCATAAACTCAGGTATGGTTGGAAGGGGCTGATCACAAATGACAAAAGATACTCCACTCACCCTACCACTCAGGAAATTCCAAGAGTTTGGGAGCTCTGCACCAGGAACCAGGGATGAGACCAAATACATAGTTTTTATTTTTATTTTTTTTAAGATTCTTAAAAATTTATTTATTACAGAGAGAGAGAGAGAGAGAGCGTGCATGAGAGGGGGGAGGGTCAGAGGGAGAAGCAGATTCCCCGCCCAGCTGGGAGCCCAACATGGGGCTCAATCCCAGGACCCCAGGATCATGACCTGAGCTGAAGGCAGCCGCTTAACCAACTAAGCCACCCAGGCACCCCCAAATATATAGTTTTTAAAATATCACAATATCACAGATGATCAATGAGGTCTCCTCACTTTGGGGAAGAAGTCACAATGTCTCACCTAGTGGTCCTAGTGGGAAACAACTGGAGTTCCAAAGAGAGGGATAGGATACCTTTGTGGGAGACAATAGAAAATTTGGTGGGGCTGTCTCAAGCCAGGCGGGGCCGGGAGGGGGGTGGAGGGGGGAGGGGCGGTTTGTTGACCCTGAGTCAGTGTCAGTCACTGCTGGGCTAACATGTGACTTTTGGCACGGAAGTGCATGTCATCCTCAGGCACACATGCACACTGGGAGCTGAGCAGCCCCGGCACCGTTTCCAGCCAGTGCTGACCCCAGAAAGCAACGTGGCAGCTGATGACTGGGGGCCGTTGTATACTGAAATATTTCAGTAGCAGATCTCCTGAAACAGACACCTTACAGACACCTGTCTGAGGAATAATGGCTAAGATACATTAAAGGGATTGAATTACTAATTGCCTTAATAATTCATTAAACAATGTTCTGGTGCTACACACTTTACATATATCTCAGTCCATATTTTCTATTAATAGGAAAAAAAATCCTAAATCTGTGTGGGTACATCGCAACCACCATTGTTTTCAAGTGGGAGAGTTGTTTTTCCACTGTGGGACCAGCCAGTATGTGAATGCCTCTGGAGCCCCAATTAAGTAGTGTGGCATCATTCTTTTAAGGTATCTGGTTCTGGGGCGCCTGGGTGGCTCAGTCTGTTAAGCGTCTGCCTTTGGCTCAGGTCATGATCTCAGGGTCCTGGGATCGAGTCCCGCATCAGGCTCCCTGCTCAGGGGAGAGTCTGCTTCTCCCTCTGCCCCTCTCCCTGCTCATGCACTCTCTCTCTCTCAAATAAATAAATAAAATCTTAAAAAAAAAAAACACCTTATTCTTAAGGTATTGGGTTCTAAATATCACAGGATTTTTAACACGTCAGAATTTATCATAGAGGACAGAGTTTGTATTGCATTTACCAAGTCCACTTCTTCGAATAATTTAACTCATTAACCAAAGGATAAATAAGGTCCATGTTTATTCTTCAATATAATACATATATATGACTGTTATACATCTTTATAAGGCAAAGAAATACAGCTGAATGAAACTATGTTCAGAAATAAAAAATATACATGACATGTGCAATCACCACATTACGAATCCATTTTTATTTCTTACCTACACTACTAAACCTCATCGAAAAGACTCACTGACATCCATCGGCTGGGACAACTACAAAATACATACAATTCAAGATAGGAACACTCAGGTATTCGATGTTTTCTGCTCTTTTGAATAAGTAGTAGTTGAGTTATAAGCCTTCATGGAAGGTGAAACTACCCACATCAAGATCACTTATGGAAAGCACTCCTGACAAAAATGGAGCTCAGAGACATATGTGGAACTTCTAGTGGGAGAAGCCATTGACTTCATGCTAGACAAAGAAGTCACCTTCATCCAGGACTCAAACATCTGACCGTCTAATAGTCCAGCTTCAAGTTTCCTTTAGGACAGCAAGCAATTCGCCTTTTGGAAATATCATTTTTATCCCAAAAAGGCTTTAGGGGAGCACTGTGATGGATAAGAAGATGGACTTTGATTCTAACTGAAGAAAAAGAGAAAGAAGTAAAAAAAAAAAAAAGGCAAAAAGCTAAAGCAAAAGCAAGGTAGGGAGCATCATGGCTTTTGAGAAGTGAGCCACAGCGAGGGCGCAGGTTACCCCCATGCTGAAATTGCCCCGGAACAGACACCTGCCTCGCCCTCTTGCTACACTCACACGGATGGACCTTCCAAATGAGGTTCCCTCATCCAGACTGAACTAGTACATGTATGCATCCTGACACCATTTGCCTTATGCCGAGAGTAGGGGTAGTGGGAGCAGAAGGAGGAAAAAAGGAATGAAATAAAGAATAAGACCCTCATTTCCATAATATCAAATACGTATTTTGACTTTAAAATGAGAAAAAAAATTCTATGCTAAATTCCATAAAAATGGTGAAAATGTAATAATTCACGCATCTTTCAAAACACTTTCACATCAAAGTATGCCACAGCAATAGCAGCATGCCTATTTACATTTTCGAGGAAAGAAAGCAAAATAATAGCAAGTCAGACTAGAAACTAACATGAGAATTACCCCCATTTTGACCTAGGAATCTTTCCCCAAAGTAGTTCAGGTGAGAATCCAATTTCAGATGTTTTTATGTCACCGACTGGGACATGAGCTCTTTTCTCCCTGATTTTTAAATAGCAACAGGTTCTGGGGAAGTGTTGGTATCTTACAAATGACAAATGGGGGCATGCTTTTTCTTGAATCCTTTGTGAGGTTTATTTCTCTCCAGGCAGTGGGAAATGCCACATCAGTGCTGAATTGCCGCCTTTTTCCAAAGAAAAGGCTACTGCCTAATGCAAGGACTGAAGCCATAACGTCCATTAGGAGGGCGGAGAAGCAATACAGGCTGTCAAATTCTAATGAATTCTTGGAAAAATTGATCACAATAGCCCCAGTCTCGCCAGACTCAGCTTCTCTGGTCCATGCTTGCATCTGGTTTGATTTCTCCGCTGTGCAAAGCCCCCTTTCCCATCAGAGCGGCAATCTACCAAGTTACCAGTTCTTGCTGGGGCAGCTGCACAGGGGCGTGGAGGGAGGGAGCAGGATGAGCAGGAGACCGAAATTCTCCCATTTCGCTGTAACTCTAGACTGTAATGATCAACTCTGCAATGCAAACTATCCTCAGCTCTCATATAAAAGACACCCTGCTGGCGTGGGGATGCCTCCCCATCCAAATGTGGAAATTTAACTCCAAATTCAAAGGAGATCCATTCTTAAAGTAGAGTCTCCTTTCTAAACCTCTTTAAAGAAAAAAAAAAATCACACCCACTGACTGCAGGGTCATTAGTGGATTAATTTGACAAAGAAATCATTCCTTTATTTGGCCTAAGCTGCCTCTCCCATGTGTGTTGGGGTCTGGTGAAAGTTTCTCTGCCAACGTGAGTCAGAATGGGAGCTGAATGCAAAAGACCTCCTGCTCTATCTGGTAGAGAGTCCACACCACAGGACAGAAAACGCCCTTCCATGAGGGGTTTTCAAATCAGGCCCTTGCATCTTATTTAGCATTTGAGAGAATGCCAGCTCTCTGCGGTCTGAGTATTAATGCATGCACTGGCTTGTATTTTTCCAGACTCGATGAATACCATCAGCTAAAGATAGCAAGCACAGTAATATAACACTTCAGTCACAGGGTTTTGTTGTGTGTGGTGTTTTTTTTTTTGTATGTGTTTTTGTTTTTTTTTTCAAGGAAACCAAATTAAACATTTTAAGCATAGTCACATAGCAGGACCAGGAGAAAACCAACCTTGAATAAATGCATAGGCCAAAGGAAAAAAGAAATGCATCATAATGTAAGAGCAAAGCTAGAAAGGAGTCAGTTTTATAACTAGCATGACCACTAAATTGGCATGTGGTCTTAACTAAATTACACATTTTCTTCTGTCTCTACTTCCCCTTTACCTTGCACATGAGAATAAGAACATTGCACATACAGTTATTCACGGGCATGCTAGAAGGACCCACTAGGTGGATACAAGCAATAATGGAGAAAAGCCAATGCCAATTAAAACTGCCCTCACTAATATGGCCATTACTATGGTGACTATCGGAGCCTAGAACCATTTACAGCTAAAAATGCATTCTTATAGCTGATCTCATCACAGGAGTTATTTGGAAATGGGAAATATGAGGACAGCTTAAGAAGATGAATGGTGAGCGTGGTGCTAGTTGTGTGATAGGAGTTGCGTGTGGCCCTGCATGGCCTCTTCTTCGTAAAGAAACGGCACCCACGTTTCACTCTTCAGAGGCTCTGTGCCTTTCTGTGCTATATACGGTAGGGCTCACTTCCGTTATTAAAAATCTGTAATGAAATGGCATATGAGTTCAAGAACAAGAAGAAGCTTCCAACTGGAAATCATTCTCATATCCAAAGAGTGAGCAGGAATGTTCCCCCTCACTTTGATTTCTGAATGTTCTTTCCTCACAACCACTGAGCCATGCAAGATTCTGCGTAGGTGAGATCATTGGTCTTCAGAAATGTTGGCATTTACCCAGAAACCTGAGCGCTATTTCCAAAGTCATTTCAACATTGGAAGCAAAGCACCGTCCTTCCTTGGGATGCACACGACCCATCGCTCATTGACAGCGGCAGCATGAGGAAAGCTCTCGTAACTGTTACGGTTATTCCTAAGGTTGTAATTCTTGCTCCACTGGTGAAAACTAGTGCATTTCACGCGTGTGAATGCTCAGTCAGAAGAGAGGGGAGTGCCTTGTGAAATGCGCATCACTCATTTGAAAGTAGAATCACTGCTCGGAAGAAACTGATGAGCTGGGACAAAAGTTCAGAATAAACAGAAAACACGACATCTGATGCCTCTTGCCTCAGGATTCCAAGACAGCTCAAGTTCCAGAAAGCAGATTATTTATGAGTCGGATTCACCTGATTTCAGACCAAATCAAAATAACACAGTCTGAGAAACCAAGTGATCAAGGGTTTGAAAGACAGAATTTTCTTCCGGTGATATGATCACCCCTTTGAAAGGCATAGTTTAAGGACTGGAAGCAGTTTTCTCCCTCTCAATGTATCCTCCAGGTTTAAATGTCTCAAATAAATCTCCAGTCTGATTGCTCTAGGAAGCTGAGAAAGAGCAGAAATCAGGTACCCCTTATCCCAGCGACTAAAATAAAAAAATAAACATTGAAAACTCAAGATGTCAGGGAAGCATCTTCCCAATTGTGTACTGCCATGGGGTGTGGGGTTGTGAGGAAAGGGGCGTGGGGCTTTTCTGCACCCCCAGGACCACAGCACTAGGCATCCGCCTTAACTGGGCGCTCCGAGTTCAAGTGCGGCGGCTCCCCCACCCCCCACGGCCACCCATCATCCTCGGGGTCAAGGCATCAGAACTGCTGATTTTTCCAGAAATCTTCCCAAAGCAGCAGCGACCACAGCAGTTTTCCTGCAAAGCAAACAAAATATGACTCTTGTTAATTCAGCAGGGCTTTTAAAATTGTAATTAGTTGGTTGTGCCCCTTAGGAAAACCACACATGATTTTTTATAATGCATGTGTGCGTGTGAGAGGGAAAAAAAAAGAAACCCCTTGCAGGATTCCACGCTTACCAGAGTTGGGTTTTTTTTTTTTTTTCAAGTTTATGCAAGATATTTTCGTACTATTTGCAAAATCGAAGGACAAGGCCTCTTTGTTTCATGTGAAGCACAGCCAGCCCCCGAGCTTTCTGCCACACCGTCCATCCTGTCGGTGACCCCGCATCACAGTGACATCGCGGAGCAGGCGTGTGAATGTTCTCCTTTGCGTTATGACCACGGGTGACACGGGCCTGCGCGCCGTTTGCGGCCCTACATCACTCCTGTGCAACTGAGGAGGTATCCTCAACTTTTATTTCACAGGTGGGCAGAAGATGGAACAAAATGCCCCGGGTGGCTTTTTAGAGTGTTTCCTCAACACATCAAAAAACCTCTAACAAATTGCAGGAGATTTATATGCCTCAATTTACATTGTGGATCCTGCCTTATTCATAGGGCCTGGAAGTCATTCTTTTTCCACAGGAATAATCTTCAACCACCAGATTTTAAAAATCAATATTATCACAAAGTTGGTTTTACTCCTAACAGAGCCTGCCAAAAACCCATCTTATCCTGGCAGGAAATACTATAAAAAAATGATTTGAAAAAAAATTCTTCTCAAATGAGGCTGCTCTCAGGAGTTAATATCTTAAGTTTACATTTATTTAATTTGAAAAAAAAAAAAAAAAAAAGGAAACTAGGAAGCGCCCACATCCCATGGACCTGAAACAGCTCTTTCCCAGCCTGCAGTGTAACCAAGGTGAATTTCTGTTGCCAGCTGGAGCCGGAGGGACGGAAGAGTGGAAGGCAGCCAGCCCAAGTGACCATCCGGAGGCGGGCCTGGCCATGCTCAGAGAAAGTTCGCATCAAGCAATTCCAACCAAGACGATATCCAACAGCATCAGTGCGACCGGCTCACATGTTTTTGTCCTCTGCATAACTGTCACTGCTTGGGCTGCCGCCGTCCTCCATCGTGTTGGGTTCAAAGCGCCAACGTGACATGGAAGGACTGTACCCCCTCCCACTGTCATTCACTCCTCATTCTTTCCCTGCCAGACCCTGGCCACAGGTTGCAATGCGACCTCCTGTCACCCAATGCATTCATCCCTACCAGGCCTCAAAAGTGACTCCAGTGCTCATGTGGGAATGCAGTTTGTGGTAAACCCTTGAGGTTTGTGGTCACTGTGGATGAAACCGGCAGGGAGAGCCTCCTGCGGACTCTGGTGCCCACCACTCACAGGGGAAGGCCGGGCTGCACCTCAGCGAGCCCAACGACCCAGGCCTGGGAGCACGGAGAGTCCTTTCCTTCTCTGCATTGTCACAAGACGTAAAGCTATCTTCTACCTTCCCCAAAACTTTACTTTGACACATGAGAATGGTCATTGTAAGTAGGAAGCCGAAGGCTTTCTGTTGATGTTTCATAGATTTCTAGATAAATGATAGACTTCTAAGTAAGTGACCCATGGACCAGAGGCTGAATGTTTTCCTAACTCTGGTCTGTGACTTTGGTCATGATTTATTGATTTATTTTTGCCTGATCTTATCCTATGAAAGAGTCAAGGCAGCTTACAAGACGGACAAAGAAAAACTTCAGGACCAGAATAAATACCAGTCAGAATAAAAGAGTAAGACCAGTGGGCAGCAAGAATATAGATTCATAAGTCTTACACATTTGTTAAAATTGAGTTGCAACAGTGGCCATGGACTTACCACCCCAAATTAGAGAACTGACTTGCTGGAGGGTAAATGGGCCCCCAACAAGGACATAAATATTGGGATTTCTAAAAGTCCTCCGTAACAAGTGCACTGCTTTAGGCCTCTCCTTTAGAGCATAAAGTAAGCTAGCTTACTGATATAATCAAAGGTGTTCATGTGTAAAACTATATCTTAAGAATTCTGACAAAATTCTAAGCAGGGTAGAGGCTTTGTATGAAGTGGTGGTTTCTCCAGGTCCAAGAGTAGGCAACTCAGGGAAGAAAAATAAGCATGGGCTTTAAATTCAGAGACACCTGAGAAGTCACATTCTACCATTTACTAGCAACGCAGCTTTGGGGGAGTTATTTAGTCTTGGAGTCTCTGAGATCGGTTTCCCCAACAATACAAAAAATACGAATACTTCCTCTGACCCCACACAATTGTGAGGACTACCGGAGACTGCCCTGTTCAGTTATTGGCACCTCCGGAGCTAATTATCAAGCACCTTCTATGTGCCAGGCCCTGGTTTCCAGGCTTTGCTTGGATTATCTCATGGAGCCACTCAACGAGCACAGGAAGTAAGACTATTCCCAACCCACAAATCAGGAAACAGGTTTTTCTGCTAGAAAACGGCAGATCCAGGCTGCACACACAGCAATCTAAAATCAGGGCCCTCCCTGTCAGCAGAAACACCACCCTGCTTCCCACATAGTGCAACACACATGTGACTTATTTCTTGCTTTTCTCTCTGAAGGCTTGCAAAAACATCTCTTTAGGAAAAGACCCAAGACCAACCTTTCAAATGGGTGCCTTCTATGGATTATTTGGTCACAAGGTTCTTTGCGTTAGAGCAACAATTCTTCTTCTTCTAGGGAAACCAGAAGACATTTGGAGAAGGATTAGAACTTTTTTTTTATCATTTCATTCCTAACTTCTGATATGAGAACAACTAAAGAGTCAATAACTTGCTACTGGGTAGAAAATGCTCTTAGAGAGATGTTCTAGAAGCCTACATTGTTCATGACCCTCTGACAGATACACTGACCCACCTTCAGGGTCCAATTCGAGCATGTTCCCACTTTCCCTTGTCATCACTACCTTTCCTCTCAGGTCAGAAACAGAGAGCTTGGTATCTGATGACACTTCATTTTTACACGTGTGTGTTTTGTCAAAACTCATTTCCACAAACATTCATGTTGACAAAGCATGAGAGTCAAGACTGAGACAAAGATGTTGCTTCTTCCAAAAGTTTTCAAGAGTACTTAAGTGCCACAAGAGAAGTCCACGAAGATGGAGAAAGCACCTCCAGTTTGGGGATTGAGAAGGGCCGTCTTAGAGGAGGTGGCATTTAAAGTAGGTCTCAGGCACTTGCTAGGATTTGGGCTGATCTAGAAGCAGTAGCAGAGACAGGACCAGACACCCGAGACCAGGGCATGTCAGAGCAGGCCTGGACTGCTGGGTTGGTTTGTTTGGTGTGCACGATGGGGAACGCTTGAAGAATTTTTGGTGAAGGAGTAAGATGATCAGAGTTATCATTAATGAAGTAATGATTTGGTGAATTAGAGAACAGATGGACAGAGGTGGAATATCATGTTCTAAGGTATTTTATTAGTTCAATAAATTGGAAAAAGGGCATGATCTAAGGTCATAAAACTGGAAACGGGAAGGAAAGGTAGAGGCTTATTAGTTCTGGCAGAAAAGAAACAATGTCATAGTTGTTCAGTTTTCCTTCCTCCAGGCCCAAAGCATTTATTAAGTCTGCAGTAGGCGCTTGATGAGTTCTAACAGATTTGTAATTTCGGAATGCTTTGTTCCACTCCAGCTGAGAGCTGTTTCTGATGGAAGATGGGTTATATATGGATGATTGGAAATGTAAGAGCATAATACAGAAGGCAGAGAGCTACAGGGCTTTAATTCCTGGGGGAAAAAAATCCTTAAATTTACTGACTGGTTATAGGCAGGCTTAGTGGTTAAGAAATGGTAAGTGCTTTTAAACATGAAATTAAAAGAGATAAATAAAAGTTCAGAAAAGACTTTTGAAATAGAAATTAGATTTAAATAGTAAATAGTTTTGGATAAGACTTAAATTCTCAACATAAAGTTAAATTCTGATTTTATAGAACATATTGGAACAAAGATCATTCCAAAAATGAATCTTCTGGAAAAATCTAGTCTTAATATTTCATTGAAAAATAAAATACATTAAGCTTGAATACTGGCTTTCAGTAACACCAAAAATGTACAGTACATAAAGAGTTCTGGAAATATCATCAGGCCCCCTTTGTCCATTATCCAGCAGGACAGCAGAGTGGTGAAGCTCTGCCCAGACTCCAGAGCCTGCCTGTCTACACTGGGATGCTACCTCCATCATTTTCACCTGGTGGGATCCCATACAAGTACTTAACCCCTATCCTCTGTTTCCTCATCTATGTGAAGAGAATAACAGTATCTGTTTCAGATAATTGGTATGTGAATTAAATGAATTAATTTTTATAAAGCAGTTGGAACAGTTCCTGGCACAGTGCCATATAATTATAACTTTAATGATAACTAACTAGATTTCTACAATGGAATTTGTTTTTTTTTTTTCATTCGTAGATATTTGTGAAATATCTATTCACCTAGTTACCAACAGTTGGATAGAATAACAAAAAGGTGATTTTTATTGTTGTTATGTGGTTTTAAAAATATTTTAAGCACTTTTTAAACTGTATAATGTCATTATTTATCTGCCACGGTTTCCATATTGTCCTACCACGTGAAAGTGTATTTGGACACCAATAAGCTTGGATAAAAATACATTGGTGGAAAATTGGCCCAAAATAGGTTGGTAACCCTAATAAGCAGTTTATGTAGTCTGGGTGATGTACCAACTAGGTAAAAAGTCTATTTTTACTTGACATCAGTACCAATTATCAAGGAAAGGTATATTCAGACACAAATAAAACTTAGTACTGATGCTGAATTTAGAAGTAAAGTTAATTTCGGGCGCCTGGGTGGCTCAGTCGTTAAGCGTCTGCCTTCGGCTCAGGTCATGATCCCAGCGTCCTGGGATCGAGTCCCGCATCGGGCTCCCTGCTCCTTGGGAGCCTGCTTCTCCCTCTGCCTCTCTCTCTCTCTGTCTCTCATGAATAAATAAATAAAATCTTTAAAAAAAAAAAAAAAAAAAGAAGTAAAGTTAATTTCAATAAAAACTGGATGTGGAAAAAATGAGTACCTGAAGCATAGTCATTCCAAGGTTTGTTGGTCAGTGAAAAAGCTCCATTCCAAAACCCTGGGGAGGAGGGAGGATGGGGAGCAGAGATGGAGGAAATGAAAGTGTATCAAACACATATGACTCCAGGGCATGACAGTCGCCATCTTAACAGATGCTCATGTCAGACCTTCCGCAGTGAGGCCAGAAGGCAGAGATTGCTTATTGCCTCTCTATATATCTTGGCCAGTTAAACATCCTAAATGTTTAGTTGAGTTACTTAAATGTTACACTTTTGATTCTGTGTTATTTGTATAATCCATAGCGATGTGGGTGGAGAAAGTCTGGAGGAGGCTGTTATAGTAATTCAGATGAGGGTTGTCATGCGTCAGGATAACCAAGGGGATGGAGAAGGTTAGACAGATTCTAGAAATAATTAGGGAAAATAATGTACAGAACTTGGAGATAAATTAAATATGAGATGGGAAGATGGAGGGGAGGAAGGAAACAGCAAAGCCCGGAGGTCTGGTTGAGGCCACTTGGTGGGAGTTGGGGGCGGTTTGGGAGGATGGTAGAGGATGAGGGGAGGTGGGGAAAATGAGTTCAGTTTAGGACTGAGAAGATCCAAGTGGAAATGTCAAGTACACAGGGGGATATATGGATCTGAAGCTTAGGAAAGGAATCTGTGCCGAAGGGACAGACAGCTGTCGGAACATAAATGGCAATTAAGGCAATAGAGTAGATTAGGGATTTTATTGTACGAAGTTAACACAGAATGTGGGCTCAATTATTTTCAACAAGTTCTCAGGAAAAAAGGAAAAAAGAGAGAGAGAGGCAAACCAGGAAACAGACTCTTAATGATAGAGAACAAACTGAGCGTTGATGGAGGGAGGTAGGCAGGGGGATAGGCTAGATGGGGAATGGGGATTAAGGAGAGCACTCGTTGTGATGAGCACTGGGTATCGAATATAAGTGATGAATCACTAAATTCTGCACCTGAAATTAATATTACACCGTACGTTAACTAACTTGAATTTAAATAGAAACTTGGAAAAAAAAAAAGATTAAAAAAACCACAAGTATTTAGGTCATCTTCATTCAGTCTTTGGTAAGAGTCTCCTTCACATATATTTATAATACTATCTGGATCAACCTTAGTATTACAGTTTTTTGGTGCCAGAGCAGACTGAACCAGTTAAGCATCAATGTTAAAATTCCAAGTTCTGTTTTAAGGAGACATGTTTATCCCAAATGTACACTAACCTATATTCGCCAAAATGTTGTATATTTATATATCCTAGACTATATATGTGTGTGCACATAGTACAGTGATGTAATTTATTTTATAATGAGTACAATGATTGAATAAACATAATAAATAGTTATGCTGAAAATAATATCTCCTAAACAACATAAGAAGCATTTATTTAAAAAAAAAAAAAAACACAAACTGCTCAATAAAAGCATTTTAAGCAATTCAACACTAGCACAAGATTGGAAGGCTGTGAGAGATGGAATTAGAACCCCATATGAGGCTAAAATGCTTCTAGCCTCTGATCATCAAAAGACCAAGGTTGGTTAGAAAAGGAGAGGAAAATCAACAAGCCTCAGTTACCTGAGTGGTGAGTCTGGAGTGGAGTTTGTGGTCTGACAGCCAAGGGTGCTTGAGAGCTTCACTTGCACTTATTCTCCAACTAAAGGGAAATGTGGAAGGCTTTTAGCAGAGACACACCAAGGAGGCCTGAATCTGTCATTCACCTCAGCTCTGGCCATTGCCTTTGGGAGACCAGATGGTCAAATGTCAAATTCACAGGCAATTCTATCTTCTCTGGAACTATCATTGATGATTGTAGGTTACCAGCAAATCCAGTCAGGGTAACAACAGCAGTAAGACAAGTGAGGCAAATAATTAAAAATCTTGTTCATAATTGAACATCTACTTTCCAATACAAGTAACCATTTTTCATGCAATGTTTGAGCTTCATGAATTGAACTTTTATCAGTCAGTGGAAAAACAAATGCACACTTAACTACCTCAAGAGCCAAATGCTAAATGATTCTTGATAATTGCAAAAGTGATTTATATATTAAAACTCTTGAATAATATGTATCACTAACTTTTGAATTAAGAAATTTTGGGGGCTCCTGGGTGGCACAGTCAGTTAAGCATCCAACTCTTAATCATGATCAGGTCATGATCTCAGGGTCATAAGATTGAGCCCCACATTAGGCTCCGCCACACTCAGCGCAGTCTGCTTGGGATTCTCTTTCCCTCTCCCTTTGCCCCTCCTGCTTGTTCTCTCTCTCAAATTAAATAAATAAATCTTAAAAAAAAAAGGTTTTGAATACTTAAATAGATGAAAAGTTAATATAAGTACTGAGAAAGAGTTCATTAGATACCTTTACAAAGAAACTATATCCTTTTGAGCTAGCAAATGTTTATACAATTTTAAAAAATAACGTGGGAAAGAATTACAAAGATTATATTATATTCTAATTCCAAGTTTTATAAATTTGTCTTGTGTGCTAACATTTATCACATTAAACCAAATAACCTTTCAAAATAAAAACTATAAGTGAGTGCAACAATCTGGAGTCTACTTCTGAAACTGTATCAAGAAAGTAGTTTCCAACGATCATGGAGCTTCAGTTTGTAGATTGATTCAGTAAAATTGTTTCCTCAGATACCGAACATTTAAGTATAAGATTTGAAGAGATGATAACCCTTTACTTTAATCCATGATGGAAAGTTTAGTAACTTGGTGACAACATCACCATTAGGAGGACCTTAAACAGGCAGATATAATTTTTTTAAAACTCTTGACCTCCACCAACCTCAGATGGAAGTCCTGTTTTGTTGAATATCATGAATTTTCAGTACTAAATCCCCAGAAGCATTCCAAAAGCTGACTGTGCCAAAAAATTATTATTTCTTCACTGTAATGCAAACTTCTGAAAGCTGACTATTAAAAAGTTAACAATAACATAGTACTAATAATTAATTTTTTAATAGAATTTCGAGTTTATTTTTGTACCCAGAAATTTACTCCATGATCATATTTGTGAAGCCCTCAGACCAAAGGAGTGGGTAGGGCATGGCGCTGGAGGCCACCAGGCATGGCTAGGACTCTGCCCTGTGCTAACCACATGACTGCTTGACTGCTCTCAGCCTCTGTTTCCTCATTTAATCCAGAATATTAAATCAGATAACACATAAAAGTGTATCTGTCGAATAGATTCTCAGTAAGTGTAGATCTCACCCACCAAAGATGTGATAGAGTTGACATTTTCCATCTGGTGTTCAGTGATATACACATAATAATAATAATAGTGACATCAGCTGTTGTGCCTTTCCATTAAAGATAAAACCCATGTCTGCGCAGTGCCCTCTCCTCACACTGACCCCCCCCCCCCCCCCCCCGCCTGGCTAAGTCCTCCTTACCCTCTAGGATGCAGTCCTGACTGACCCTTTTCAACAGACTCTATCTTTGCATTAACTGCATTGTATTCTATCTTTTTAAGAAATACCTATCTCTTCTCTTAGATCATGGGGTACCTAAAGGCAGGGTCTGACTTTACACATGTGTTCTCAATGCCCCAGACATATTTCCTGGCAGACTGTCGACAAAGCACCTCCTTGGTTTCAGGTACTGCTCCAGACCCATGTTGCTTCTTTAATCCCCTCCCCGCAAATACACCCTCCTATCTGTTCACAGTCATGTTTATTAATAACTTAAAAGCCATAAAGATAATAAAACAATGAAGCAAGGCTCAGTATGGTTGGCCTTGAAAATCTTAAACACCATTTACCATTTTACATTTTAGGTATAAAACCATCTGAAACTGTTTTTGACTAAATCACAATGTCCTTCCCCTGCCTGTAATTCTAAAACGCAAGCCCTTAAGTTTCAAGGTCACTCTTTTTCATCTGCTGAATTTTTTTATAGATTTTATTTATTTATTTGAGAGAGACTAAGTATAAGCAGGGGAATCAGCAGAGGGAGAGGGGCAGAGGGAGGGAGCAGGGAGCCCAACGTGAGGCTCAATCCCAGAATCCTGGAATCATGACCTGAGCCGAAGGCAGATTGTTAACAGCCTGAGCCATGCAGGCGCCTCCATCTGCTGAATTTTGAACTAACGTGGTTTTAGCATGACAGAAAATAGAAGGCCGTGTAATATGTAACAATTAAGTGGGCAGCCTTAGGGGAAGGTTGACGTGTTTGACACTCAGTTCCACTGACTAGCCATATGATCTTGGGCAAACTATTTAGAGTTTCATCCATAAAATAATAATGATAATTCCCACCTCTTAGAAATGGATGGGGGTTAAAAGATAGGTCTATAAAGCACTTGGCACTGTCTGGTCCACAGTAGGCTCTCAAATGAAATGATAGTTAAGTGTTCAGCTACACAGAACCGGACATGTGCTTTGTAGATATGAAAGGGGTTATGGAAATAACTTATCCCAAACCCTTCATTTTGAGGCCCAGCAAGAGCCCCTAATTGCTAGAGCCTTATTGCAAAAGGCAGAAGCAGGGAAGTTTTTGTAGCCCCTTTCAAGCCTCTTGACCAAACCAGTCCACGATCTTAGTAAACAAGGTCAAGAGCATCACACTCTTTCCATTTACAACTTTGCATGGGCATTGGAGATGTCAAAAAGAGAATTCGGGAATTATTTCCACGAATTGCGGTTAGCCTATGCTTCCCTATTATCCCTCCTTCTTCCGGAGCCCGGAACCAACTTGGGTTACCTCTTCTCCTTAATCAGAAGCTTGGAGATAAACTCCCTGGCCTCCTCCGAGATGTCCTGAAATTCTTCATCCTCTAAATCCCACCTACAGGCCAGGATGTTGTTCAGGGTCTCAGCGTCATTGTCACCCAGGAAGGGAGACAAACCACTCAATCTGTAAGACACAGGCGCCAGAGTGAGTCTCGTTTAAATAGCTTCAAACCCTTTACAGAGAGGTTGCTTTTTCTCGGTTCTGTCGTTTAAAACTGAGAGAAGTCAAATAACCTGATAATTAAACATAATTTTATAATATATTTTTGCAATCAGGAAAACGCTTTCCTCCCCCACCCCAGCCCCTAATGAAACACCTGCAGCCATGGAGTCAGCAGCCCCCCTAAAATATGAAATCTCTAAGAAGAGCACAACTTCCTTTTTAGAGCGTTTACAGCTGCTAAAGTCTGCCACACACTCAGATGGCCAACGCCAAAGGGTCACCCTGAGGAGTAAGGCTAGCCTTCGTCTTTTAGGAGATCAGGACACAAGTTGCTTTTTAATTACTTTTAGGGCATTCAGTGGTGTCCTAACAGTTAAAGCGATTACAAGTAGACATACGTTTACTTTTTTCAGGTGATGCACAGGGAAAGAATTTACTCCTTTCACCCCCAGGATTCACAGAGCCTAGAAAGTGACTCAACATGGCACGGTGTTATTTGTTAAAAGACATAATTGGGCTATTATGCCTGTGGGTAAGTGTCAGAGAGACTGGAGATCTGCTTACAGCATATAGGCGATGACGCCCACACTCCACATGTCAGTGGGAAAGGAAACAAAATCATAGTTCACAACTTCAGGGGCAAGAAATTCCGGAGTTCCAAAGTTCACCTTCAGCTTCTCTCTGGGTTTGTATCTGGAATTCAGAAGACAAAGTGGAGGGATGGACAGGGTCGATCAAACATCAACAATCGTAGAAACTGAAAAAATGCAGTCTATAAGACAAAAGAACTTCAGCCACACAGCAAATTTTGAATACATAGGCTTTAAAGGAAATCGTGTATTTAGGAAATAATGTTAAAAACTTGTAAAAAAAAAAAAAGTTCCAGGAGTTTAAGGGTCATAATTCATACTATAAAACCTTAATAATCTGAAACAGTGGTGGGGAAAGCTGGTGAGAATAATTAGAACACGTGAATTCTAGAACACAACAAAAGGAAAACTGATACAATCCTTGACATGCCAATGGCTTGAGTAAGCCCACATTAATGAATAAATGAAATGCAATTATTTGCATCCATTTTATATTCACCATTAATGTACTGAAGTCCACATATAAACTCTTCGTTCACTTAAGAAGCTTATATGTACCAGAACCCTTTGCAATCTCATTTACACTACTCAATTTTTAAAGTAAATCTTCTCTTTACGGATAGAACGCATATAAAAGACTAAGACAAACTTATGAATTCTAAATTAATGTCTTCAAATTTAATAACTTCACTGTATGAGATTTTTAAGTTTTCTTATTTTTTTCTTGGATACACCGTAGAAACCTCTAAACATTCCAATTCCAAAGTCAGCAAGGTAAGGCTGGGATATCATTTTTGTCAAGTTAATTCTAAATGAGAGTCTAAAACCAAGAGGTATATCAGATTTATCTTTGCAAAGAAAAGCACCATCATGCTCACTACTTCCGTTCATATACCTATGTCCAAATACACATACCTTCTGGCCAATCCAAAATCAATAATTTTTATTTGTTTGGCATCCCGATTCACACACAGGATATTCTCAGGCTGCCAGGAGAAAGAGACACATTAGCAATGAAAACAACCATCATTCACTCAAATTGTCCTTGAACCACAACTAAAAATACAACGATGCTCAGGAAAAACATATCAGGCCTTTCACTTTGGGTCTGGCTTGTCTGTGTGGGTATTTTCTCCTTTAATTTTGTGGTGGATGAGGTTGTGGGTACCCTGCCAACCTTGCATTACCCTGCCTGTCCCTCTCCCTGGTTCTGCAGTTTACCATAATGTGTGAGTTCAGGCAGGGGCCTCTTTGAGGGAAGAAAGACAAGGAGTCAGCTTCAGTACCTTCCAAACGGAGTGGTGGAGGCTGTCTCGGACTTGACATCTGCCCCCCTAAAATTATGAAGTATGAATTCCCCCTTCTTGGAGGAATATCTTTCCCAAAGATTTATGAGCTCCAGAAGAAATGGCCTGATTCCTTTAAACAGTCACACCGAGGATGTAATATAACGGGAACGCTCCTGACCTCCAGATTTTCCCTTTGCGCTTAATCCGTGAGAAAGTCATGTGTAAAAGGAAGACTTCCCTCTCGCTCATTCTTCATTCTCAGCAATTCCAAAGTTTTATTGAGTTTGTTCTCAGTGCCCAAACCCTTGACTAAGTGTTCCCTTGGAGTTTGACTCTGGTTAAGACTTTGCTCTCTGTCAAGGTGACAGAATTGGGGGTGGGGGGTGTAGAGGGAGAAAACGTGGATAGTAGCATTGCAACTCAGTGTTTATGGAATGTCTTACAAGTGTGCCTGTATTTGTTAGGTCAGAAAAAGTGAGGTCTGAGAAAAATAGGAAATTTGATTTAAAGTCTAGGTCATCCATAAAAGAGAAATAAAGTTTTCAAAGAATTGCTTGGAACTGTCAAGTTCTTGCTGGGGTGCATTTAGCCAAGTTTCTGAATCCTCAGGATCCCATGTCCCATCCTTTATGTGGGATCACAGCTGTCCCTCCCCTGCCTGTCTGGGTGGAGAGGAGGTTCAAATGAGATCAGAAACTAAGAAGTAATGGATGAAATAATGTAGAGTCTCCTTACCAACATTCAATGGACCATTTGGTTGGCATAGTGTCTTTGGAAGCCCTTTTCTAAAATATCTCTAAAATTGGTGTCTATGAGTAAAAGCTATTGATAAAGTGGATGTTCTATAAGAATATGTGGTTTCATGCTTAAATAACTGATCGATATGAATAAAGCTGTCCGATTCTCAAAGACTACTATGACATAAAAATGTGTTTACAGCTTTGAGGGCACTTTAAAAAGTTAATTTTTTTCTAACTATGAAATGAAAGCATATTCATTGAATAAGATTTTCAAAACACAGAAAAATATAAAGGAGACCATTTTTCATTTTTAAGTCACCTATAATCTCCCCTCCATGGTGACAAGCACTCTTAATATTTTTGGCCCTTTTCCTTCCAAGGAGCTTTATGCAAGGGATGAGTGGTCCTTAATGACCCATCCAGCTGCTGCAATTACTATTATCTTTACCTACAAACCGTAACTAAAATTGCCCATTGCAAGTCCTCAATCAATGTTATGAAGCCACATACAGAGCTGTTTGACTTATGATAGGTCAGGTCCTAGTTTTAGTTGCCAATCAAATCCCTTTAGGGATATCTGCAGAATATCTACACTCAAGGAAAATGCTCCATGGAAATACACATTATCAAACAGTTCCGAAGCCAAGGGCTTTGCTAATGATTTTCAACTTCTGACTTTGTCTTTTATATACCACTTCCTCCTGCCCCATGAATGGGAGAGGTAGCACACATAAATCAAGGCAGTGAGGGAAGCTAAGTTACAAGAAGAGAGGACCATGGAAACCAATTTAAGGAAGTTAAATTTATTTAGCTCTACAATCCCTGATGACTTGCAATAGATGGTATGTTATAGAGAATATATATTTTATCTCACGGTCATGCTGTGCAAACAGGGAAATGAGAAAATGATTGTGTCACACAAGAAGAGGCAATTTATGATACTTAGCCCCGATATTAGAGCTGATCAGAGTTATTGAGCTTGGGTCTTTTACTGGTCCTAACTAGGTATAGTCCAATTCTAGGCACTTCATACTGGGAGAGAGATCAAAAGGGAAGGGTCATTAAATAAGAGGAGAAAGGCAGGTGGCTTGGCTCCCCACTGCTCACATAGGTTCTCCACCATGCTCAACGTGGTGCCAGCCCCACCCCCACCACTCTTCTCAGCTCCTAAGCATTTTAGCACCGACCTTCTGGCTGCCCTGTATCCCATTCTGCCATAGGTTCCTACTCAGTGTTCTAGCATGCCCACAGAAAAACAAATCCCTAAAGTCCAGCACGTCCTAAAAGAGTTTGAGACTGCTAAGGATGCTTGGAGAGCTGGAAAACTTGGCTACCACGGGGGAATTCTGAGTTAGCTAAAATCCTCCCACCTACTTATTCTAAAAATGAGGGGGACACAGCAAGGATACCATGGTGGTGGTAGTGGTGGTGGTGGTGGTGGTTTTAATTCTAAACTTTTAGGGAAAGCAGCTCCCATATGGATCCCTTTCACACAGGCAAGTTACAAGAATCTGAATAGTAGTCTCTGAATGTGGAGATATGCAAATATTAGGGGGTGGCGGAAGCCAGGAATGGGGAGATGACACTAAGAATCCAGGTTTTCATTAATTCCCAAATATGTACCTCATAACAGCATAAATTCCCCAAGCTGGCATATAGTATCTGACAGGGCCCACTGATCCACAGGAGGGGAGGGTGGAAGGGGTTTCATACCAAACAGAACACGCTGTACCTTCAGATCCAAATGGAGAATATACATCTGATGCATGTGTCTTATGCCCTCACATATCTGCTTGATGAACAGGATGGTGTCAAACTCGGTCAGATTGTAGTTGTCATCAATGATGCGATCAAACAGCTCCCCTCCGTCCACGCTGCAGAGGGAAGAGGCGTCAAGTCCTGAGTATGGCTCCTTCGTGAACACAGCTACTTCCTGGAGTAGCAGCCGCGTGTTTAAGCTCGTCTAGCTCTTCCAGCAGATGTGTGTGCCCGGTGACTTCTCCGGTCAGAATCAGAAGTGCACCAAGCACGGATCTAGCAACTTCCAAAGCAGGACAGAGCTACCGCCGCGTAATCATGCTTGCGTGCAGCTGTGCAGGGGAGGGGTGGAAGAAGGATGGGGGAGGGGGTGGGGGAGGGAGAGAACACGTACTACTCCATGACCAGGACAATGTCATTCTTAGACTCAAAGGCGTCGTAGAGCTGAATGAGGTTCACGTGATCCAGCTGGTTCATGATGTTGATCTCGTTCTTCACTTCATCCTGAGAAGAAGGAAAGATGCTTTAGCGAAGTGAAGATGATGACGGCAAGGACAGATTCATGTTGCACGGACTTTACCTTATCCTTGGTGCCTCTGGTCTTGATGATCTTGGCCGCCAGCTTCAGACCTGTTGCTTTCTCTTCACACCTGTGTACCTGGCCAAAGCGCCCCCTGCCAAAGAAGAGGACGTGGTGCAGCGTGAGGTGGGGCCAAGTGGAAGACGCCCCTCCCGGGGCATTTCTCTTTTGGGGTTTGAATCAGCAAACCTGTTAGTGTATCTACTGTAGCCAATAAACTTCTAAAATAATGTTAAAGTGTGGTCTCTCCGTCACGGGCTGAGGGGTTTCCCGGCCCTACCCCAGACCTACTGAGGCAAGAATCTAAGGTGAGGCCCCAGAATCTGCATTTCCACAGAGTTCCTTGGATGATTCATATGCACCCTAAAATGTGAGAACTTCTGTTATAGAAAAAAATAGAATCTTTCTGAATCCATATGAATGGAATAAGTTGGGCTTTGTAAGCGAATGAACAATACAGTCTGTAGGTCAGGCATGTAAAATTATTTTTGGAAACTGCATATAAATAAAGTAATAACAATATTACATACAGATACATAAAATAAAAAATACATATTACATAATCACCTATGAGATTTTTGACGGTTTAGCTTGGATATAAATTTTTATACACTTTAAAGGACAGCTTCTTACACATGTAATCACATATCAAAATGTACACTCATGAACAATTTTAAAATGTGACTTCTTGCTTTGATTCCTGATTTAGTAAAATAGAACACAGGTGCCTGCTTGTGCAATGTGGCTATCATGGCAGGGAGCTAAGGGGAAGCTTCCTGAACAACACTGTGACCCTAAGACCCCCCCACATTCCTGGAGGGCTGCAGAGGCGAGGATGTGGCCACAACTGACAGAGGCAGGGTGGTGACCAACTGAGTTGAGGTCCCACTCAACTCAGCTACATCTGTGCACAAACAGATTGGTCTCGGAGAATGACATTTCTGTAAACATAAGCCAAGGGAGGACCTTAATTCCAACTACCATGTCCAGACCGTGAACACAGCCCCAGGCACCTCACATGTGGCTACTGATGAAGAAAATGCCCTGGGGTTGCCTGGGTGGCTCAGTGGGTGAGCGTCCCACTCTCGATTTTCGCTCCGGTCATGATCTCAGGGTCCTGAGATGGAGCCCCGCATCAGGTTCCCTGCTCACCTGGGAGTCTGCTTCTCCCTCTCCTTCTGCCCCTCCCCCTGCTTGTGCTCTCTTTCTCTAAAGTAAATAAATCTTTAAAAAGAAAAGAAAAAAGAAAATACCCTGGGAATTGTCTCAAAGTGTCTTCTGCAAATAACAATTCTCCTTCCGAGAAACAGTTGCTGGTTTGCCACCGAAGTCCCTGACGACCCAAACGAGCTACTATGTGCAGTGATACTAAAGACTCCCAGGGCACCTATTCATGTTTCAGGGTTTTCATTTGTCTTTCTGCCCTTTCTCACAGTCTCAAGAGGAGCTCTCTATAATCAGCAGGCTGAGGAGGAAAGCATTCAGGGGGTTCCCCATGGTGCAGGCGAAAGAAATATGGGGCAGGAAGAGGAAGAAGGGACTTCACAAATGGCGACCACACCCCCAATGACCAAATGCAGAAACATGCACTATAGTTACTGTACATATTTTCCATGGGTTGCTAAGTAGCTTTTGTGTAAATGTTCTGCTTCCTTATGCTATTTCACATAGATATGCTGACAGTAGTAAACTTTATAATTTAGACTTTAAATCACAAGATATCAAAGGAGGATTGTGTCTGTCATAGAAAAAGAAGGAATATCCCCCAGTAATAAACTCGGTCCCTGATGGACTGTACTCTTCCTTCTTCAGGGAGAGAGTATGCATTTAGACGTCCTTCAAAAAAATTCTTCAGGGACCGAAGCAATCACTCAAAATGGATAATAGTAATTAATACAGTAAGAACATAAATGGAAAACCAACAACAATGATGAAAAAAAGATTTAACACATGCCACAAGAAATACACAGTGTTGTTCACTCATTCCTACATTTTGTGTCTCCGTTTTCAAGTTTTGGACAGCTTCTAAACCTTCTGGTGACTCACTGGGGCTTCTCCCACTTTCAGATATCACAACGTGGGAAGTAAAGCAGATAATAAATATGGACTTCAGTCACTGTCACCACATCAACCTTTCTGACATCAGTAGCGATTTTCAGAAATGCTAAAAATCTCTTAAAATGCTTGTTTATGATGTTTCTGGTTCTTGGGTCAAGACTGGCAAACATTTATGCAATCCTCAGGATCTGCCTCTTTGAAAATGCTCTTCTTTTGTGGAAAGCATATTAAAATTGAGCATTACTTACCCTCCTAAAACTTCCATTCTGCTCACAGTATAAAAGACATTGATGGCTGCTTGTTTGGCTGTCACGATACGGTGATTAAACGGGGCGGGAGGAGCCGGGACATCATCTAGATGGTGAGAGGAAGCAGTCAGACCTCTTTCTGGCACCAGACTGGGCCTCAGAATAAAATAAAATGGGCTATCTATTTTATTCCTAGTGATCCAGGGAATATATGTTTCTATTTCATATTATGGTCTGTAAGTCATGAAGGTGACACCTGACATCTTTCAGAAAGAATGTCAGGACCATGTAACTGTGGTTTATACCATCTTCAGGATAACTTTTAGAAATGTCACAGTAGTTGAAAATCTCCAACCCCAAAACAGTCCATACGGATAATTCTCCCAAGCCCAAAACCATTTAAGTTCTAAGATAATGAAGTGTTTGATCCATTAAAAAAAAAAAAAGCACCACTGATAAGGTTCATTATTTTAATTAAAGCAAAGAAAGATGAAGAGTTACTTCATGTCATTGAAATGTTTGCTATTATTCTACATTACTTTGCAAAATATTTTAGCCTTTATTTAAGACACTTTTAAGGCACAGAGATGAATTTTTCCTGGATTGAAATAAAACAACCAGTAAAACTGGCTAAGGACATATTCTACAGCTTTCAAATTGCTCCCACTTCCCACCCTCCGGTCTAAGTGTTTTAACTCTAGTCCACCTCATGATCGGTTCTAAAACACAAACTCAGTAATATTCTTCCAGCATTCTTTTTATTTTTCCATGGTTTGCTTCCCGTGAGCCTATTCATTTCCCCATTTATTCCATATTTAAGCATCTATTGCATGCAGCTTCTTACATGCATACAAGGATACAAGGAGAGGTGAGTAGATAATAACTTTGCTTTCAGAACTTTAAATGTATTCAACACGTAATTCTGGAGCACTTATCTTGTGCTAGGCACTCTGCCAGATGTTAATATTTTTAAGAATTCAGATAATAGAAGTCTCCGGGAATCTGATTTGATATAGACATTCATCTCTCACACCATAAATATGCTGAAAACAAAAGAAGTCATGAAAGAATTCTCTTGGTGGCATTCATCTCTTCAGACCAAAAAAAAAAAAAAAGTGATTGAATTACAGACACAAATGGCATCCAGTATGGCATTCTGTCTCCTTCAGGCTGTTAGGCTAAGTGAAATTTAGTTGGAAATGCTTGCTGGAAAAGGTTAAGAAGCTTTAAAAAGCTGAAACAAAAACCATTTCCTACCCAATGGGGCCATCAGATCTTGCTGTCCGGAGGTCTTAGTTCCAGCAGATGCCAAGGGTTTGCCTTGTAAGCCCCCCTGGGCTTGTCTGGTTTCCTGTGTCCTAAATGTGTGTCCTTCACCTGGACTCTCTACATCTATTCTGCTCTTTTTGCTGTCCTCTTTGGTGAAGCACTCCTCCGTCACCCTCCGCTTGCTGCTGCCAGTGTGTTCTGCTTGCTCAGCATTCTGGAAAGTGGGTGCTAGCGCTGGGTTTTCCAGGATTCGGGTTGTAGAAATGGCTTTCACATTGCTGATACACCTGGAAAATAAAATCCACCTGCAGCTCTCAACGTTTCAAGGAGATAACTTTCAGATGATCAAAAGTCTTAGCACTAAAGCTTCCTGAACATGGTGCTTTGGCGGAGCTTCATGATAGAGTTGGCTGTTTCAGCATTCGGGATGAAATGGAGCAGTATGCTTCCCCATCAAACGAAGCAGCACAAGAGCGGGTGTAGATAACAGGATCCCAGGGACTCTCCCTGATGACCTCATTGTGACCCCAAGTTATTCCACTGACCCTTTACAAAAGCAGTCATCTTATGATACCTAGCTAATTCGATCTTCATTTTTTTCACTTCCTTTTCTTATAGAAGAGAGAGATTACTAAATTAAAGTATACTAAAGGAAGCAATCATCTCTCTGAATATTAACAGCAGGGAGAGTAAACCTTTATCGGTCAAAGAATTGACCTAATTTCAGTTTTTTAACAGCTCGTTACCTTACTAAGCAGATCTTTGCAATGATGGACTTTCTTAATAAACATTAGCCTTTATGTTTAATTCTTTAAAAATTTGACTTCTCTATGATTGGGTTTCAAATACATTATTAATAAATGAAATAAAAATTATATCTTAATTCCATAAAAAACACAGAGATATTTGGATACTCTGTTCCAGATAGAGTCTGTGGCCCATCACAACATAGAGTAATTGATTGTGGTTGGCTACATAATTACCTGGATTTATGTGAAACTTTGCAGTTGAGGAAGAGTCCTTCAATAATCTACTTCTTACTCAATCCTCACAATACCTTAGGAAAATAGCCAATTTATCATGCATAATTTAAGAATTAGTTTCTTAACTTACAGATAAATCTGATCTCATTATTCAGTTCTTGATCTTAGGAAGCATGTGCTTTATATTGCTAAAAACAAGAACTTCATACTTAATCTTAAAAATACTGATTGATAATAATCATTATCTTTATCAGTTGACAGAAGAAAACAGTAAAAATGCCTGAAAATGTCACAGGCAAGAAGAGAAAGTAATGGCAAGAGAACAGGGCCAAGAAAAACCCACACCAGCTGGGAAACTGGTTTCAAACCGTTGCTTTAAAAACTCACTTCACTTCTCCTTTTGGTATGGCTTTAAATCGCAATGGCTCATAGGTCTACCAAAAACATCAGTTGTAGGCGTGCAATGCTTTAAAGCCTACCTTTCACAGATTTGATCACCATTTGTTTTATCAACACACTGCTTTTTATTTGAACACTTGTCCAACACCGTTTCATTTGCAATTGCTGGTCCTCCTTTTGTCTCAACTTCGCTTTCACTAGTATCTTCTTTAGAATGAAGCCCATTTTTCTCTCCTTTGAACACTGGACATCCATTTTGATCCACAGTGGCTTGCTTATCATCTCCAGAACTATTACTTTCTTGTCTGTTCAGTCTCTGTGTACTCGAAATGTCTCTTGTGTCTATATTTTCTCTTGGCTCTATGGAACTTCTTAGAGCAAAATCTTTGACTTCGTCTTGTGGTCTTTCTGTATGAAATGTGGCAAAACTTCTCTGAACTAGAGAGGCATTGGTCTTCTCAGAATTTTTCTCATTGAGTTTATTAACTTTTTTTTTCTCGGAGGAGGGCTGGTTCTTCTGGGAAGATCTCTCTAAAAGCCACAAAATATTTTAATGGAGGATGCATGTGATCAGTATAATTTCGGCTTCACATAATGGCATTTCTATTCAGGTTTCTCTTTATCAGAAGATACAAGATTTTGAAAAGCAAAGTAGACATGAACATGACCAACTGACTGACATTTGGGTTCCTAAAGAGTTTCTAGTTTGTAACTAGTAGGACCCAAAGCCAATCAAATAAAGATATTCAAACAGCACTTCTCCCAACACAGGGCTCTATGAACATGTAACTCCTTCTGAATAAGAGCAATGGCAACAGGACTTTTACATCACAGCTTTCCTTATGCATAAATATCTAGTCTTCTAAAGATGTTACCTGTGAGGGCCGGTGTCCTTTTGCCTTTGACAGGTGCTGTTTCCTTCAGACCAGGGTGTGACCGTGACTTCTCCTTAGCCTGTGGATACACAATTGAATAACTGAAGTTACTTATTAATTACATCAGGGTTTCTCAACCTCAGCACTACTGATACATGGGGTGGATAATTCTTTGTTGTGGAAAATGTCATGAGCATTATAGAATTTTTGCAGCATCTTTGTCCTCTACCCACAAGAAGATGATGATAGCTTCCCTCCCAGTTGTAACAACCAAAATGTCTCCAGAAATTGTTAAGTGTCCCTCAGGGGGCAAAATCATCCCAGATTGAAAACTACTGTATTACATGATTCAAAAATGAAAAAAAAAACCCACTAAAATTAATAGCAAGTTAGAGGGCAGGACAGTCTGAATTAATGAAACTGTATAGACTACAATATTTAAAAACAAATGAACTCCCTACTCTAAAAGAAATTCTGTTAAACTCTGGCATTGTTTGTAAAAGAAGGCCCATCTTCATGAATAGATTAAAAGATATTGATAATGTATATGTCACCTCTGACCTCTGTTCATATTGTCTTGATATGGTTCACATATTAATCAGATGAAAATGAGAGGATCTATATGAATAGGCTTTGTAAACCAGAAAGCAGGAGACTAAAGTAAGCTTTTCTGAATGAGTTTTCACATGGCTTAAAGCAGATGACCATTTTCCTAGGCAGATAAACATCATTCTCACAGTTTGGCTTCTCTGAATTTGCTTAGCCAACTTTTCTTAAATACCACATAAAAAGTAAACATTAGCCCAATCCACCCAAGTTATCACAAATTCTGAAGTTGTGCATTATAAATTAATGAAATTGTATGGATGTCCAAAGAGTCAGTTTCTTTTCTTTGGAAAGAGAGCAAAATTTGCCTTAGGGTGACTTGCAAGCATGAAACGCCGCATAAGTGCAGCTCAGGGGCATCAAGACAGAATGCTAATGTACTTTTAAATAATCCAAGGGGCAGTCTCATAGGTTCAGAGCATTTCCATTTTTCAGATAGAGACATTGAAACACAAAGGTATGTTTAGTAAATCTGTGGAAAACCAAAATTAGACATTATAGCCTCAGAGTTTGTAACTTCGTCTTCTAGGTGAAAGCACAATACAAATGTTCTGCAACTTCCTCAGGCAAATCCAGCTGCTCTCTCCTCTGCGCACAGCATATGCACCCATCCCAGCATCACTGACAACACTCTTAAACGTTTTTTCCCGTTAATTTCCCACTAGCCTTGGGCAGAAAGACTGATTCATCTTTGAATCTCTGGCACTTAACCCAGTGACTAGGATATAGTGATGATGGTGGTAATGATGGTGATGATGATGGTGGTGATGATGATGATGATGATGATGACGAGGGTGATGGTGGTGGTGGGGATGATGTCAATGATGATGATGGCTAATATACACTAAGCACTGTCTACATACCAGGCACATTTCTAAGCATGTTATTAACTCAGTTGATCCTCATGGCAACCCTTTGGGATAGATACTGTTGGCCACATTTTATAATGAAATCAGGTAATTTCCAAGCATTATACAATTCAGAAATGGTTGAGCCAGGATTATTAGTCAGCTGTCTCCTTCATTCTGTGCTCTTAACTACTACATTGTACTGTCACTTAGAAAAAAAATAGAAGATTACAGGCAAGGTATGTTGTTAGTATTTATTGAATATCTATTGCACAGCCAGTACCACGGGAGATAAGAAGGAAGATTAAGAGAGAAGGGTATAAAATGGAAACACGTTAGTAGAGTGAAGAAATAAATATTTACCAAGCAACTAGAATTAACATGGAAGAAAGGCAAGAGAGAGAGAATTTAAGTCCCATTTTGAAAATAAGTCAAATTAGCCAGATAAGATAGTTTAACAAATTGTGTTTAAGATACTGTATAATTTTTTCTTTCAGTGTTTCTCTTTTGAAATGAAAACTCCTGGTGGATAGACATTGTGCTTCTGTATTTATTCTGGATAACGTGTACATTGGTGGACTTGATAATGAAAACTGTTACGTTTTAATCAATTTCAGTTCATCAAAATAGGTAAAATTGAGAATTTGGTGGTAAGACTCCATAGAGTGCCAGATTGATGAGCGTTTGCCTCCAAGGTCATCCAGGTGTTGGTGGTAAAGGTCCAGGAGTTGTGCTAACATTCTTTGGGTAGAGCAGCTGGAATTGACCAACAGGAGAACCTGTTGATTCTGAGGAATATAAGAAACCAGCTTCCAAATGAGGCTGTTTTTTTTCTTTGTCAATTATATATCACATATGTTTTACCACTTAAATAATGTAAAGAGGTCTTTATTCATTGCCACAGGCTATTGTATTTTCATTTCTCTATGTAATACTGACATCTAGAGGAACTTTGAACTGAGTTTCCAAAAAACAGAAGCTGTATCTCTCCTTTCCTGTTTCTGGACAGCAGCTTCAGCATGAAGAGCTTTTACTTTGTGTTTCCATGTTATCTGTAGAAGTTGCTAAAATAACGCTGTGAATTGTGCAAGACTGTGGAATCTCAGATCTGTACCTCTGAAACAAATAATGCAATATATGTTAAGAAAAAAAAAAAGAAGAAGAAGAAGGTAGCGGGAGGGGAAGAATGAAGCAGGGGAAATCTGAGGGGTGGACGAACCATGAGAGACGATGGACTCTGAAAAACAAACTGAGGGTTATAGAGGGGAGGGGGGTGGGAGGATGGGTTAGCCTGGTGGTGGGTATTGAGGAGGGCACATTCTGCATGGAGCACTGGGTGTTATGCACAAACAATGAATCATGGAACACTTCATCTAGAACTAATGATGTAATGTATGGGGATAAAAAAATAAATAAAAAAATTTTAAAAAAAAGAAGTTGCTAAAATAAGAAGCACAAGTCTGTAGATATATCTTGTCCAAAACTGAACATATTTTCTACCTATGAGAGAGGACATGACAGGACTGTTAAGCATGATGTTCCTATAAGGATTACTATCACCCTCTGTTATTAGATACAAATCATGTCAGAGACTATGTTCCTTTGCTAAATTCACACTGATGACCGAGTTGAACATGAGGGCTTCATTTCATTCAGATTCATTCATTATTCCTTCACTTAATAAATACTTCTGTATTTGCATATGGATTCCTTTTGTGACCAATTACTCATTGCTTTTATAATAATCCATCGATGCATTTAGAATGACATACAGAAGAAAGGAAACCCAAATGCCCAAGTATTTAAAACAAGTTCTGTTCTCTCCACTCTGTACAGTTTTCTAGACTGGTGTCCCGAGTGAGAGTATGTGCCCTGAGTGTGTCTAAAGTAGTCTTCAGGTTGTGTAAAGGAAATGTTAGAACTCATTTCTATCTGTTTTCCATTCTTTTAAAATTTATATTTTATATATTTTTTAAAACATGTATGAATAAAATTGGACAGATATATAATTTATAAATATCTGTAATATACTAAATTTATTTATAAAATAAATATACATGTATTGTTTATCAATGTGCATAATTTCTGAATAAACATACTGGGATTTACTTTAATGCATTTTACTGATCGCAGTGCAAAATCACAATAATTTGGAGACCGTTCCTCCAAATAACACCATTTCTTACATTCTGATTTTCTAAATCATGTGCTTTAGAGAAGAAACATTCTAATCAGCAGGTTCAAGGACAAGCACATAATTTGAACAATCAGCTCATGTCTTGCAAACTGCTTTTAAGAGGTCAAGATTCATTGCTTAATGACTATTTTGACAATTTAGACCAATTGTATGCTGTTTATACTCTGGTCTCCATGCAGTTTCACCGACTGCCATAGAAACAAGAGCTGAGCAGGAAGGCAACATCCATCCAGAAGAGTGTGCCCACCTACCTGGTGCGGAGCTCACTCCCACCACGAACCACAAGCCTGTCCCAGTACTACTACAACTCTACTTCTCCTCAACATGGTAGAGCAACCAAAAGGAAAATTAGTTCCATTGAACAACTCTGCCTCATCCCTCTTCATTTCCATTCAATAAAAATCAACTTAAAAAACCCATCCTAAAGTGGATTTAAACTTTTAAAGAACAGAAAGGCAAAATAGCTACTGCCTCCTCTGGGCACCCACAACGCAGTGATCGTCTTCTGGGTATTGTATGGTCACTTGACATGCCTGAACCCCCACTGGGATAAGGACACTTCTCTTCACCTACGGTTCCCCAGCACCACATGCTCAATATGCTCGGTGAACCCCTGTGCAGTAAAGGAAAGAAGTGCCTGCAGGACTGGTGCCCTCATTCTAACAATATTCCTTTTTATTTTTTAGTGTATATATATATATATATAATTTATTTATTTTACTTTTTTTACGTTCAAATAGCCAGCATATAGTACATCATTAGTTTTTGATGCAGTGTTCAACAATTCATTAGTTGCGTATAACACCCAGGGCACGTCACCACAAGCACCCTCCTTAATACATCTCCCCATTACCCCATCCCTCCACCCCCCTCCCCTCTGTAACCCTCAGTTTGGTTCCCAGAGTCCAGAGTCTCTCATGGTTTGTCTCCCTCTCTGATTTCTTCCCATTCAGTTTTCCCTCCCTTCCCCTGTGGTTCTCTGCATTATTCCTTATGTTCCACATATGAGTGAAACCATATGATAATTGACAATATTCTTTAATCAGGCTGTGTCACCGAAAAGCCCGACTCACCCAGCACCAACCGAAATGCATCCCTGTCACTGATGCTCATATCCTTTGCATCACTTAACTGATGGTGAGTGATATCCGCAGCCCTGCATTTGGGGATTATGGTTGCTACAGAAAACTATTTTTTTACCATCGCGATGGAACATGACTATACTAACTGCATCCCCTAAGCTGAGGTCTTGTCATATCACTGCTGTGGAGACACCAAGAGGAACACTTTTTGGCAATTTTAACCTAATGCCTAGAAATACAAAAACAAAATGGTAACAATTTATAATGATGTTGTTAAACTTTGATTGGGCTCATCATGAGGGAGAGAAAAAAAACAGAGCCTAAAAGAGATACAAAAAGAGAAATT